ACAGTGGATGAGAAGTTGGATATGAGTCAACAGTGTGCCCTTGTTGCCAAGAAGGCTAACAGCATTTTGGGCTGTATAAGTAGGGGCATTGCCAGCAGATCGAGGGATGTGATCATTACCCTCTATTCGACATTTATGAGGCCTCATCTGGAGTACTATGTCCAGTTCTGGGCCCCACACTACAAGAAGGATGTGGAAAAATTGTAAAGAGTCCCAGCGGAGGGCAACAAAAATGATTAGGGGGCTGGAGCACAAATTAGGGTTGTTTAGTCTGCAGAAGAGAAGAATGAGGGGGGATTTGATAGCTGCTTTCAACTACCTGAAAGGAGGTTCCAAAGAGGATGGATCTAGACTGTTCTCAGTAGTACCAGATGACAGAACAAGGAGTAATGGTCTCAAGTTGCAGTGGGGGAGGTTTAGGTTGGATATTAGGAAGAGCTTTTTTACTAGGAGGGTGGTGAAGCACTGGAATGGGTTACCTAGAGAGGTGGTGGAATCTCCTTCCTTAGAGGTTTTTAAGGTCAGGTTTGACAAAGCCCTGGCTGGAATGATTTAGTTGGGGATTGGTTCTGCTTTGAGCAGGGGGTTGGACTAGATCAACTCCTGAGGTCCCTTCCAACCCTGATATTCTATGATTCTTCTTTCATGAGACATGCACGCTGTCAATTTGACTCCTAGGTGCAGGATTCAGTGTGTCTCTTTGCATTCCAAGATATATCAGACAAATCCTTTGTTTCTTCCTACAGATTTCCTCTCTTGTAGATTTCACAAACAGCAGTGGGGAAGGGTCCTATTTAAAAATCAGGATAATCTGTCAATTTACACCTGGCTCAGTGCAAACAGGCATACAGCACAAAGCATATCATATAGAGGTGGTCAGCCAGGGAGATGTGTCAGTTACTTCCTACCTGAGAGAAACTTCTTCAAAGTATGTACCTTTTTGGTGACCTACCTTAACTCCAAGACCTTAAGCACATATTTTTTAGTATAGATACCTAACTCCTTAAATATTACCCATACATACATTTTACTACTGGCTCTTGGTAGAGACCTCACATCCCATTCTTAGGTGAACTACCATGCAGATATCCAACCCAGGGGATCCCTGTAAAAGCCTATTACCCCCTATGACCTCTGCCAACTGGCATCAAGGGTCCCTAGGTCACAACTGTCCTTGAAATGCTATAGCCCAGAGGTTCTCAAACTTCATTGCACTGCAACCCCCTTCTGACAACAAAAATTACTACACGACCCTAGGAGGAGGGACCGAAGCCTGAGCCCATCCGAACCCCGTCGCCTAGGGTGGGGGGGGGAGGCCAAAGCTGAGCCACACTGCCCTGAGCTGGGGGGCCAAAGCCCAAAGGCTTCAGCCCCAGGCAGGGGGCCTATAGCCTGAGCCCTAACACCCGGGGCTGAAGCCCTGAGGCTTCAGCTTCGACCCTAGAAACTGGGGCTCAGGCTTCGGCTTTGGCCCCAGGTGGTGGGATTCGGGCTTTGGGCCCCAGCAAATCTAAGCCAGCCCTGGTGACCCCATTAAAATGGGTTCATGACCACTTTGGGGTCCTGACCCACTGTTTGAGAACTGTTGCTGTATCCAGTTCTGTCCAAGGTTGTAGCACAATTTGGAACAGAGTTAAAATGCAGCTGGGCCTGATTTTCAACTCAGCTACATTGGTGTAATACTAATAAAAATCCATTTAAGTCAAAGGAGATATGCTAGCATAAGGTAATGTGGCAGAGTTGAGAATCAAGCCTGGTTAGGATCAGTGTATGCTACAAAATGGTATTGTGTTTAACTATGTTGGGACAATTCTGTGGTATCTGGATTTCCTAAACTGCTTGTCCATAGTGTAAATGGCCCCATGTAGCTGGTCATTAAATCTTAATTGAGAGAAGACTTAATTCCTCGATACGTTAAAAATAATAATTTGAAAAATTAACATAGTAAGAATTAAATGTTCAGAATATTATTTGTATTCATATGAATGCAAAATTTGTTTCACAAGAAGCAAGTTATTAATACGTTCATTTCTGCCTTTCTTCAGAATAACCACATTTAGTTGTCGTTGAAATAAATGCATCTTGTCAAGTTGAAGTCCAAAGGTGATGCAATGCTTTTCTGCAGTTTCTGGAAACAATGTGTATAATGAGGAAAATTAGTCCCTTTCCACACTTATTCTGTTTTCTTTTAAAAAAAACTAACACAAAATATTATGATAATACGCTTTCATCTTTCTCCTACATCTTCATACATTTCTTTTGTCTCAGACAGAAAAACAGACTTTGCAGACTTGGGAGAAGTTACCTGTAACTAGATTTTATTTCTAATATAATTGTCATATTGGCTAAATTATATTATTAGCCTTGTTTGGTGTTTGATCCTCATTGCCACACAGGTGAAAACAAAAATTTCCAGTACAATTCTTATATCCAGTCAAATCCTAATAATTCAGGATATATATAAAAAATTTGTGGAATCAGCTTTCTAATATAACCTCATTTACCATTTATGATACATGAGAAAGAATAAGTGCAAATAAAGAGACTACATTCCTCAGTATAGTCATTACATATTAAAGTCACATACTACCCCATATTCTATATTATTTTAAATCCACATACTGTTATAGGTGCTATGGGCCCTACCTTTCAGCTCTTATGCAAAAAAGTAGGAGTAGTCCTCATGCCCAAGTAGTTCCACTGATTTCAGTTGGGCTACTCATGTGATTAAGGACTTTTCTTATAAGGGTTGCAGGACCAGGTATTCAGATGTCCTGAGTTGGTCTTGGAAGGTAGCAGTTTATGGGAGTAAAGGGGAAAAAAAACAACAGCACAAAATAGGAAAAGAATGACAGAGTAGAGCATATAGGTAGATGATAGAAGCTCACAATAGGAGACAAGGGGGCCAAATCCCCAGCTAATGTAATAAACCAGCATAGCTCCATTGACTTAAATGGTAGTATGCTAGTTTACTCTAGGTGAGGACCTGGCCCAAGAATCATTTTTTAAAGTGAACACTTTTAGTAATGGAAAGAATAGCATCTTTAGGACATATATTCTATGGAAAATGCTCTCTATATTCTCACACTACATCAGACTCTGAACTAGTTCAAGATATTTTACTATAATTTCCTTGAGAGAAGCTGTGTAAGCAGATGTCATACAAATACAGAAGCTATAGTATCTTCATGAGATAAAAGTTACCGCTGTGATGACAGAATAAAATAAATGATGTCCTGACATAATGTTGCCAAAGTAATCTACCAGGATGCAGTTGCCAAGCTAACCTATCAGGATGCTCTTCTGACATATCTGAGGAATTGTATAGTAGTACTCATAGATGCTGGAACTAAGGGTGCTGGGGATGGTTCTGCACCCCTGGCTTGAAGTGGTTTCCATCACCCATAGGAGTTTACGATTCAATGGCTCTCAGCACCCCCATATAAAAATTGTTCAAGCACCCCTGGTAATACTTAGCAGTCATGTGTCCCTCCCCAGCAGTATGTTTTGGGTGCCTAGGGCAGAGAGGTAAATCATTGTAGGGCAGAGGGTGGGACTGGGGAAAAACCTGGTTGATGGCTCCTACCCTGTGCTGGGCTCAGCTGCTCATCCTGGCTGGGCTGGGGAGGACTGGACTTACTCTTCCCCTGAACGGCATCTGGGACCAGGTCAGACCCACCCCCCGATTTCTTCCCCAGCTATAGGAAGCTCTGCAAACTCCCCTCCCTCCACCCCTTCCTGCACCCATCACTCCTCAGCTGCAGGGTGAAGGATCCCTGTACAGGGAGATGCTCCCCCATCCGCCCAGACCCCCCTCATACCCAGACCGTCCTACCAAGTCTCACCCCCCCCCCGATGAGCCCCACTGCCCCTGCATCTGGACCACCCTGATGAGCCACCCCCATCGAGCCCCAACCAGCTGAACCTGGATCCCCATCCCAATGAGCCCCATTCCCCCAGCATCTTGATCTTCCCCCCGCCCATACCATCCTGCCAAGCTCACTATCCCTCCACCCAACCCCATTGCTGAGCTCCAACCATCTTCATCTGGATTCCCCAGCAGAGTCCAATTACTGTTTCACCCAGAAACCCCATCTAGATCCCCCCGCACCTGGATCCTCCAGTGATCCACCTGCACCCAGATTGCCCCACACAGAATCCTCCAACCCACAGCTGGATCCCCCCACACTGAGACCCTCCATACTTGTATCCTGATTTGCTGAGCCTGCCTGCCCACACTTGGTGCACCTGACATGGAGGGGCAGGGCCCTGGGGTGTCTGGGGGCAGCCCCCATCCTTGTGCTGTGTCAGGGTTGGGTGCAACCTCACTGCTGAGTCTGTGTTCCAGGGGGAGAGAGAAGCTGCACAGTGATCTCCCATCTCTGTGAGGCAGTGGCCTCTGCTCCCCACTGCCATACTGGAGCCTCCACGTTTATTTGATAAACACAATTTTAAAATATTGTGCACAGAATTTTTATTTGTTTGGTGCAGAATGCCCTCAGGAGTAAAGCACCAAGAACTGCTGACTTCCTAGGTCTGTGTGCTAGTGTTAAGGACACACATAATTTCTATCATTATTATTGTATTGTCAACTGCTGCTCCTTTTGGGGGATCAGTCAAGTGGTACTAGTTTCCCACAACGTCCTTCGTAAAACTTGGTTTCGTTTTGAGATTTTTCTAGGAAAACTGCTGCTCTGGGGGTGGGAGCTGGCCCACACCCGCGCACGTGGCTGTAGCTTGCTTTTTCCTCCAGCCGTGTTTGGGGTAGCCCGCGACGAGCAGTCAGCGGGCGAGGCGGGACTACCACCCGCTGGGGAGACACGCACCCGGCACGGTCAGGAGCGCAAGCCGCAGCGTGGACCGGGACATGGCGCCGGGCCAGTGACGGAATCACCGAGCGCAGGCGGAACGGGACGCTCGGGAGCGGGGCACTGAGCCGGGCTCTTTTCACGGCGGACCGGACACCCGGTTCCGGTTTTTGCAGCGGTGCAGCTCGCACCGCACGTGTCGCCGTTGCCTGCCTGTGCCGCTCGCTCGGCGGACGCGTGGGACTCGCCATGGTGAGTGCGGGGGAAGGGAGGAATTGCCTGTCGCGCTGCCTGTTCGAGACACCAGCACCCGCCCCGGAGGACACCACGGTCCGTGGCGCTCGTCGCTGCGAGACACGGAGCGAGGGGGCGGCCGGGCCGGGCCAGGGGGCTGGTCCCTGCGGGGAACCAGCAGGTGCGGAGCCACGTGTACAAACATCGAAGCCCAACACGTCCGCGCTCGCCGCGTGTCCGGGGAGCGAGCGAGGAACCTACCCGGGGGCCCCTCTGCCTATTTCTAAAACCGACTGGAGACAGGGAGGAGCCGTAGGGCTGCTTTGGCAGGGCCACTGCCCAGCTGCAGGCAGGTTACATGGGAACGGGGCGTTGGGGTGTCTGGAAAGGTCGTTCGTTGTCTCTGTGTTTCAGGGTCTTCCACCTAGTGCCCTACGACAACCTACTTTTCCGTATAGCTATTTTGTGCTTTTAAATCATTCAAGCATGAGAACTCCGCAAAGAATTAACTAAGGGATCCTGCCGCTCCCCTGCGGCCAGATAGTCCTTCATTACTTGCTATTCGCTCCACCTGGCTTACCCGGCACACCCACTCTTAACCTTGCCTACTGAAATTTGCAAACATATATCCAAAGACCAAAAACAACAAATAACCAGGAGATCATAACATTCATATTCTTTTCAATTGAGTCCCTTCCAGTGTATTAAAATACCAAAATATAGAATTGTGTTGCTCAATATGAAGACTATAGATGAGATTTTCAAAGTCAGATGCGGGAGTTGGACATATAATCCCTATTGGTTTCTAATAGAAATTAAATATCCAAATTGCTTAGATAGATTTGAGAGTCTATTGCTACACAATATAATTAAAAGTACAAATTTGCAAAGTCTGTGTTTAATGTACGAAGCTGTGCAATCCACACATTTCGTAATAGATAATTCATTCCAGCTGTATTCATAAAAATATTCTTTTACCTCACCATACCACAGTATAAGCGAACTAATAAATTTGTAGCATAACTTGGTATACCCTGGGACTATATTCTTTTCAAAATCTTTATTCCTTTAATAATAATTAAAAATATATATGCAACAGTATTTCTGTTACAGAAAAAGGAGTAAAGTTTAGGTGTAAGTCTTACTTTCTATTCTGCTGATTTTTTTCTACATGCCTAATGTAAGCAGTCCAAATGGTTTAAGTCACAGAATCATAGGGCTGGAAGGGTCCTCGAGAGGCAATCTAGTCCAGTCCCCTGCACTCATGGCAGGACCAAGTATTATCTAGACCAGTGGTTCCCAAACTTGTTCCGCCGCTTGTGCAGGGAAAGCCCCTGGTGGGCCGGGCCGGTTTGTGTACCTGCCCCGTCCTCAGGTTTGGCTGATTGCAGCTGGAAGCGGCGGCCAGTATGTCCCTCGGCCCGCGCCTCTTCCAGCAGCTCCCATTGGCCTGGAGCAGCGAACCACGGCCACTGGGAGCCGCAATCGGCCAAACCTGAGGACGGGGCAGGTACACAAACCGGCCTGGTCCGCCAGGGGCTTTCCCTGCACAAGCGGCGGAACAAGTTTGGGAACCACTGATCTAGACAATTCCTGACAGGTGTTTGTCTAACCTGCTCTTAAAAATATCCAGTGATGGAGATTCCAAGCCTCCCTAGACACTTTATTCCAGTGCTTAACCACCCTGATGGGAAGTTTTTCCCCATGCCCAAACTAAACCTCCCTTGTTGCAATTTAAGCCCATTGCTTCTTGTCCTATCCTCAGAGGTTAAATTTTTTTTTCTTCCTTCTCCTTGTAACAGTCTTTTACATACACGTCTACCCCAATATAACGCTGTCCTCGGGAGCCAAAAAAAGCTTACCGCGTTATAGGTGATACTGCGTTCTATCGAACTTGCTTTGATCCGCCGGAGTGCGCAGCCCCGTCCCCCCGGAGCACTGCTTTACCGCGTTATATTCGAATTCGTGTTATATTGGGTCATGTTATATCGGGGTAGAGGTGTACTTGAAAACTTATCTCCCCTCTCAATCGTCTGTTTTCCAGACTAAACAAACCCAATTTTTTCAATCTTCCCTCATAGGTCATGTTTTCTAGACCTTTAATCATTTTTGTCATTCTTCTCTGGACACTCTCCAATTTTTCCACATCTTTCCTAAAATGTGGCACCCCGAACTGAACACAGTACTCCAGTTGAGTCCTAATCAGTGGGGAGTAGAGCGGAAGAATTACTTCTTGTCTTGCTTACAACACTCCTGTTAATACATCCCAGAATGATGTTCGCTTTTTTTTGCAACAGTGTTACACTGTTGACTCCTATTTAGCTTGTGGTCCACTGTGACCCCCAGATCCCTTTTCATAGTACTCCTTCCTAGGCAGTCATTTCCCATTTTGTGTGTGTGCGCAACTGATTGTTCCTTAAATGGAGTACTTTGCATTTGTCCTTATTGAATTTCATCTTATTGACTTCAGACCATTTCTCCAGTTTGTCCAGATCATTTTGAATTTTAATCCTATCCTCCAAAGCACTTGCCCTCCCAGCTTGTAAGTGTACTCTCTATGCCATTATCTAAATAATTGATGAAGATATTGAACAGAACTGGACCCCGGACTGATCCCTGCGGGACCCCACTCATTACACCCTTACAGCATGACTGTGAACCACTGATAACTACACTCTGGGAATGGGTTTCTAACCAGTTTTGCACCCACCTTATAGTAGCTCCATCTAGGTTGAATTTCCCTAGTTTGTTTATGAGAAGGTCATGCGAGACAGTATCAAAAGCTTTACTAGTCAAGATAATAATTTACTTTGTTTATATGCTTATGGGGAATTCCTCTAAAATAGGTGTTCTAGCTTTCAAGGCCAGATATTCAAAATAGCCTCAACGCCTGCCCCCAAAATTGTACCTGCAGTTTGGCATGTGCAAATTCAGCAGGTGTATTTGATTTTCCTACTGTAAGTGTAGGGAGTAGGGAAACTAGTGTAATAAAATTCTACCTTGTCATATTTAATGGTGTCCACTGACACACATTCCAATTTGCAAACTTTGCTTTCTCCACTTAAAAAACATTAGTACTTTTTAATTCTAGCTGTGAATAAAATCTGTTGTTGTACCACAGAGTGTACTTTATAAACTCTTCCAGACATTCATTGCAGGTTCTTTAACCAGGCCATTTTTTAAGCTGTTCTATCATCAGAAAAGGCAATTTGAAACTTGTTGCAGAAGTTGGAATAGGATCAACGCTCTGTTAAATGCTCAGGTAGTTAATCAGTTCTTTCCTTTTCTATGTCAAGTCAACAGGACAGAAAATCATTCTGTTCTAGAGACTATAAACAAACAAAAGTTAAATGAACATAACAAATTTGATTGCAGCCAAAGGTCTTCCCTATATGTAGAAGACAAATACCACCAAACCGAGAGAATGAAAAACTAACAGGTGGTAGTAAATATAATATTAACTGGTTCTGAATCAATCATTTCAAGCACTATCTACAGGGAGTTGTCTGGATAAATTAGTTGTCAAGATAACCATATATGAAAGTGTTTGAAAGTTTTAAATTTTTACTCTCTGTGGTGTTGATCAATGTACAGCAACTGAAATGTATCTGTCTTTTTGGACTCTTTTGGCTCAAGTTTTGAGCAAGTAGTTGGCTCGTATGTGTGTTGCTATTTCACAGTTGTAGTTCAGTGTGTTTCTGAACTGGATGGGCAAATGAGTGATTGTTAGCAATGACTTGACTAGAGCAATTATCTATGGTTTTTCTAGACTTCCCACCACTATTCTGTCTAGAAACTCCAATCCTAAACTGAAAAACTTCTGTTCCAGTCTTGTGGGTAGGAGGCTGTGTCAAATTATATCACATTTTTGTGATGTGGACTAGAATAAGGCCATCAAACTGCAATTATATTTCAAAGCCAGAAAATCTTTGTGTGTTCAACCAGATTTTGATAATGGATATGAAAATGAGTTCAGCACCATGGGTTCTGGTCAACTCTTGGTTTTAAACATTTAATTTCTCCTATGTTTTATCCTCTTGGCCCTTATCCAGCACAGTGACTTAGGACAGAAGCATGCAAGTGTGTAGTTGATCACCTGATGCTAATGTCACTTGTGTGGTAGCAGAGGGTGTTGAAGCCCTCAACTAGATTTGTTTCTTTTGGAATGCATATACAGCAGTTCATTAGTACAGATTCTGCCTGGTCCACATTGTGATGCCCCCAACAACGGAAACTACAGAGCTTCCTATTTGTTTGTTTTTCTGTAATGTTACAAAACAATGTTCATGTTATGGTGTGTTTTTAAGTGCCCTGTATATACGTAACTAAATAGAATACAATATTACTTGCTGTTTGGCCAGAAGGAGTAAGTTATTTTGGCACAGTGGTGTGCGTAAGGTTCAAGAGGAAAATTCCTTGCTGTTTATGGCATGATGTTTTCTTTTTTATATACCTGCCTTGTTCATGTTGCTGTTGCTTCCAGTTTGGCATGTGATTGGGCTGAAGTCACATGAGCAACAATAGTTGGCTATTAATACCTTCTTTAAATTAGTGGAGCTTCAGGGTGTCTTCTCAAGAAGTGCTAGAGGAAGCAGTCTATGCAAATTTAAATCATCACATTAATAAACTTGTGAACACTAGTGCAGGATCACTACTTTATGACCAAGCTTACTCTTGTTTTCTTTCTTCCCTATGTATTCCTCAATGTCGCACTCCTTAGTAGTCTTTCCATTAATTTTGGGGCAACCTTCAAACTTCACAACAAACAAATAAATAAATAAAAATGATGGGAACTACTGGGAAAAAACCTAGCCACAACTGAAACCTGAGTCTGGTTTGTATTCGGTAGATGTTACAGCTGTATTCCTATCTGTATCTTCTTGAGAAGTTTCTTGTTTCAGATTCCGAACTGAGAAATGGAGTGGTGTGGGGATGAGGCTTACGATGCATTCCTTTTTAAAAAGAGCCCCTTCCTGTAACCTGAATGTTTGCTTAAGATGTTTTTCTTTAGAACGTGTACAAATGCACTTGAGTCACTGACATTGCAGAAAGCTATAACTTTATCTCTATTTGTAAAAGTCCTTGGATTTCTTTCAGAGTAGCAGCCGTGTTAGTCTGTATCCGCAAAAAGAACAGGAGTACTTGATGTAGCCCACGAAAGCTTATGCTCAAATAAATTTGTTAGTCTCTAAGGTGCCACAAGTACTCCTGTTTTCATTGGATTTCTGTTGCTCCACCAAAATGGAGCATTGTATTTTGGGACATGTAGTCTCTGTGGGTGGCAGCTGCAATCTGGTTCTTTCTGTGCAGATTAGATGGGTTCCTGACAAGGGTTTAAACGGAGCCGTCAGTTGGGAAAAGTTTAAATAAGGGTATACTGGAAATTGCATCCTTGTTAGGAGAGGTAATTTAAAGTTTCCTCACCACTGAGCTCTTTAAGAAGGAAGGTATTTTCTGTTAGTAGAAGAGTAGCAGCCTGTAACAAATTTTATATCTTTTTTTAGTTTAGAGTTGGTGTGTGTTATAACTGCATGCTTTGCTTCAGCCTTCAGAGTTTGTATGCCTGATTTTCATATTGCATGTGCTGTGTTGGAATCTGAACTCAGGAGTCTGCATTTTATTATTCTTAGTAACACAAGGAGTGACATGAATATAACTTATACTAGCCCACCTAAACCTACTGTATGAATTTTGGACCTTCTGAGGTGTTAATGCATGCTCTTTCTTGAGTGAATCTCTTTGATACGGTGCTGCTGGCTTCCCTTTGAGCAGTCTTTTACTCTGGTTGCAGTAGCTTATGAGACACTTTGTGAAGAGAACTGAAGTGTCTCATTTTATTCCTTGTTATGTTTCTTTTCAGCCAAAAGTAGCAAAGGGCAGAGGAGGAGGGCAAGAGAAAAAAGTCATCCATCCTTACAGCAGAAAGGCTGCTCAGCTTATGAGAGAAGCACACAAACAGGAAAAAAAGGAAAAGTGAGTTAATTTGTACTGATGTTATCCAATGTGGGGGAAAGGGAGAATAATTCTGTGTTTTTAAAAGTATTATTTTGAGTCTGAATTTCAGGAAAGTGGGGAACACGAAATTTGGAACCTTTTTTGGTAAGTGGGTAAAACTAGGAGTAATTAATAATATGAATTTAAAACAAAGATAATTAGGCTGAATATCAGGTATTATTTCCTAATAGTGAGACTGTTTGTAGAATAACATTTTTTGGAAACTGATAGAAGCTTCAGCACAAGAATAATGTAAAATTAAATTAGACAACCTGATTTATTAGAAAGTCAAGGTACCGAATTATAGGAATGTAGGATTGGAGGAGACCTGAAGAGGTCATCTAGTCAATGCCCTTGCACAGAGACAGGATTAAGTAATCCGGATTAAGTAAAATGTAAGATCATTGCATAAATCTTGAACCTAATGCTAAATTCTACCAGATGATTTTCAGAACTTTTACTTATACTATCAATCTATTTACCAAAGTACTTTTTTAAATGATTCTGATTAACACATGACTGGTAATTGACATGGAGCTTTTCACCTGGTTTGAATCTACTGCAAGTTGACATTGACAATAAGTTTGGTTTGAATTCTGTTTCTTGGTACAAGTGTCCAGATGACAGAAAACCCCAAGATAGCTGGCATATTTTGTAGCCTTACCAAAGGAGGGAAAGACTGAATGAGAATAGAGCCTGAATAACTCATCTCTAGAGGTGGTCCCTGCATCTTTTTTCCTGCTTTTTTTATGGGATCTGCCTGCCTTCTCCCCACCCCACTTCTGCGGGGCTAGCGAAGGGCACTGTGTTGAGAGGGATAGAGTTTGCCTAGTGCCAGCAGGGTAGAACATTTGGTGAAGAGTTCTGATTGTGTCTACTGCTGGAGCTCCTTTATGCCATGGTAATCTGATCTTCAGGCAGGACAGCCTCTCTCTTCTGGGAACAAATCTTCTCCTCAAACTGGGAACTCTTTTAGGGCTGCTTAGTGCTTTAAAGGTCTGCTTGTTGGCATTTTAAATGTCAGTATATATAATTAGAACAGCTTTGGGAGATTCTCTGCTATTGCATGTTTTATCTATTAAATGCATGGTTAGAGATAACCAGGACAGTCAGGATGGATAAAAATCAATGACTTTTTAAAAAAAAAAATACAAAAAAATCCGATTTAATTTATTTAAATCAGATTTTTTTGATAAAATGCTTTTTGAGGAAAAAACCTACCTAAAGATAGATACATTATAGCTCAAAGATATCTCATAATGGAATAAGGATTATTAATTCTATAGTATGAGATAATATATTCATGTAATGTTTAAGAAAAGTTTTGTAAATGAGTTCCAATAGTTCATGGATTCGGGACCCAATCTTATGGGATTCCAGGGGCTTCTGTATAGATTATTTAGGTTAATCTTTCTATCTACCCAGTGGGACTCAGTGCTAACTAAGTCTAGAAGATACCAGCAGAGAAGCTTAGTTTTGCAGTTCTCAAACTGTTGATTTGTGTCTCCAGAGATAACATGCTTGTGACGGTCCACGCCCCTGAGGTTGCGAGCGGCGTGGACTATCCGCCACCGTCCGTCAAATAGCCCTTCAGTCCAGGGCAGTATGGCCTAGCGGCCAGAGTCTGTCGTCCCCTTTTCCTCAAGGAGACGCGGCCTGACGGCAGGAGTCTGTAATGCAGCCCTCGGCTACAGGGCAGTAGGGCCTAGCGGCCAGAGTCCAGGAAGCAACCCTCGGGCGGAGGGTAGCGTGGCCTAGCGGCCAGAGTCCAGGAAGCAACCCTCGGGCGGAGGGTAGCGTGGCCTAGCGGCCAGAGTCCAGGAATTGGGGTGCAACAGCCCCACTAGGGGGGCCCCGACCCGGGGCCCTAACAGTAGCGTAGTGCTTTTCCACCAACTCAGCGGGGGGTTCCGACCGAAACACACTGAGTTTCCCTGGGGGGAAGGTGGGGGGGGGAAGGTACCACTCTGTCACCCTCCCGGGGTCCCTTCCTACCAGGCTCTCCGTTGGGGTCTCCCAGGAGTTGTCAGGTCCTTGGCGGATTCGGTCGTCCCCTGGGTCTCCTCCAACCGCCGGCGGGCCGTGGACGGCGTCTCTTCCCGGTGCAGCCAACGGCTGTGGCTGGTCCGCCGCAGGAGCTTCCCCAGCAGGTCCTTCTCCTATGGGCTCCAGCCCAGAATGAGCTGGTCTCCCTCCCTTTATACTCCTATAGCACTTGGAGCATGCCCAGTCCGCCCAGGGAGGTGGGACTTCCGCTGCCAGTCCCAGGGGCTTAACTCCTTCCGGGTTAAGGCGGGGTAGTCTGGCCCCGCCATCCAGTTCCTGGGGCTTAACTCCTTCCGGGCTAAGGCGGGGTAGTCTGGCCCCGCCACCCAGTCCCTGGGGCTTAACTCCTTCCGGGCTAAGGCGGGGTAGCCTGGCCCCGCCACAATGCTTGTTAACAGCAAAAATGTTTTTAAATAAATAAATAATATATAGAGATGAGAAATAAGACCTCAACCCTATTGTCCCTCTGCAAATTTGTGTACACAGAGTCAATCCCTTACCTCTCTCTAAAAGTGCAAAGTTTCAAAAAGTTCAATGAATAGAAGATTGTTGGGGGCGGAATAGATCTGGACAAGGAGAAGAAGTCTGGAGATAAATGTGAGAAGGGAGGGACAGGCAGTAGAAACAAAAGTGAAACTGTTTGAGCAGCATATTCCAGAAGTCTTGAGGTCTTTCAGAGTGTAGCCTTCATTGATTTGAGATCTACCATACCATTCTCTCACTAGAAGGGAAAACATATAATGGCAACAGGCCGTAAAAGAGATCCAGTTTGGGTCTCATCTATCACTGAGTTGTGAAAAATATTTATTAAGGTTATAACAACCAACAATAATTTACTTTTATGTAGAAATCTATGATTAAATCGAGTCTTCCCGACTAGTGATTTACATCATGATTTAAATCAAATCTACCCTGAGGACAGTTAATCTGGCTTTTCACAAACTACTATATTTAAATGTTGTTAGGGTTATGGGACAATAGTAATCAACCAGGAAAATTAAACTTCAATGTAAAAAAGAGTGGCCTCACCGCTGCAGTGCCTCCTGGCAGCTCTCTCCCAATCTGGCACCCCAACAGCCACAGTGGTCCTGCAGTTTTCCACCTCTTCTCATGACTCCGCCCTTCAGGCAGGTCACAATTTAACTCCACCTCTTCCAGGGTATTGGAGTTCAAAAGACAAAGGAATATTACAAACTCAAAACCAGGGTAATCTGAGAAGCCTTTGACAGGACCATATCCCACCCTGCCCAGGATTTGTCTTGATGCAACCAGTCCTTTTAATTAGTCTTTCTGGGCTGGTTGTCCCATCTGCTTGGAGGTTCATCCATGCAGGAAGCTCTCTGACTCTTGCTTGAAACCAGGCTTCCCTTACCAAGAGGAGTAGAGCTCCTCTCTCTTTCCTTGTCAACCCCAAACTGAGCTGGGCCACCTCCTTTTAATTCCCCTCTCCTCTCCTGACATCTGCTACAGGTATAGTGGTGCAGGCCAATTGGGACTACAGACCCTGATCAGTCCCTTCCTTGCCAGTGTGGGGCCTGTCTGCTCCATCACAGGCTGTAAGTGATGGTAATAACTAGAGTAACAATAACCAGAGTAAGACTACACACCACACTTGGGTTTAATTTGGTTTTGTTTCCAGAGTATTTGCCTTAAGTGTTACTGAAACCACACTTCTTGTGGAACCATGTGCAGAGGTAGGGTTTTATGGCTGAGTTAAGGATATTTGTGGAATTCTGACTATGAATTTCCTCACTTTCCAATATTTGTGTTTAAGAATTACGGTGTTCTAACCATGATTTGAATTAATGGGTATATGTGTAGGTTAGGTTTTTTTTTTAAAGTAGTTAGGAACAAAACATTTGAAATACATAATTGTAAAATATTTGAAAACTAGTATTCTATTGTGCAGGTTTAAATGAAACTCCCACTTCAGTAAAATACCACTTTTTAAACATAGCTTTTTGTGGTTTATTTAACTGAGTCCTGAATTTGTGCTGCTGTCTTCTACCTGTGCTTCTGTTGTTGTGTCTGCTTCTTCCTTTCTTGTTCATGGCAGTCAGCTCTCCTCAGCCTAGTACTTCTTGTTTTTCCCCCTTTAGCAGTGAGTGCCATAACCCTGCATACAGTATGGACTAGTCTACACTAGAAGCGCTACCTTGGCACAGCTGCAGTGCGTCTGGTGAGGACACGCTTTGCCATTGGGAGAGAGCTCTCCTGTCAGTATAACCACCGCACCTGCACGAGAGGCGGTAGCTATGTCAGTGGGAGAAGCTCTCCCACTGACATCGCACTATCCACACTGGCACTTGAGTCAGTGTAACTTACATTGCTCCGGGTGCTCTGAGTGACAGAAGTTATGCTGCTATAAGTGGTAGTGTGTACAAGCTCTATGTAGAGAGAACAGATGTGAAATGAGAAGTGGCTGAAATCCTAGAGACTGGAGCACATGGATCTTCATAGCTGTCTTCGCATTTTTAAATAGATAAAATATATGTTCCACACTTTTGAAAATTTGTCAAGTATCTTCGTTCTAGGGCTTAATTAGTGTTTATGTAAAACCAAATGCCCAGTTAATAATACTGATTTGGAAATGGAAATCTTCAAATAGAGGTGCTGGTGCAGTGTATGCAGATGCAATTAAAATCCTACTTTTCTCTTATCCTTCCAACCAAGGACTTCACTGTGCTTTGCAAACATCAATTAAGTATGCAGTGGAGAAAGTGACAAATATTAGAAAAGTAAAAATGCTGTAGAATGACAGTGAGTGAACTGTAAGTAATGCACAAGACTGCCACTGCCATCAGTATCAGATTGAGACTGCATTATGATCTTCGATCTGCTTTGCCCAGTCTAAGGCTTGCCTACAGAGGAAAATTATCCTGGTATAAATTAAGGTGTGAATTTAAACTGATTATACCAGTATAATCTGGTAT